CACAAGCGAAAATGAATCTTTTCCATTCTCCCAAATCAGTAACTGACTTCCCTCTTCCACCCAATGGGGTTGCTATTCTCTTGGCTGCCCAGACTCCATGCTGCTCCCACATCACATCACATCCTACTATTTCTTCCTTCAACACACCAATATCACGTCTTCATGACATTATGAATTTGGAGAGAGATTTGGGAATGTTCGCTAACTGAAATTTCTTTTTTTTTTTAAAGTTTTTTGTTTTGCTTTTAAAGATTTTATTTATTTGACAGAGAGAGAAAGACAGCACAAGGGCAGAGCAGCAGGTAGAGGGAGAGGGAGAAGCAGGCTTCCTGCAGAGAATGGAGCCCAATGTGGGACTCGATCCCAGAACCCTGAGATTATGACCCTAGCCAAAGGCAGCCGCTCAACCAACTCAGCCACACAGGCACCCCAGTTAACTGAAATTTCTATGCCTCACTTTTTCCATCACTCCTGCAAGGTTAAAAATATACACCAGGATTATTCTGAAGATTATAATCATGAACTAATGTGCAGAAGAACCTAACAGCACCTAGGTTCTGTGTGTTGTTTTCTTCCCTGCCTTCCATTACCATGGCCAAAATTATAGTGGCATCCCTCGTAATATCTCATCTAAATGACTACACTGATTTCTAAACTCTGCTTTTACTCTTTTTCCAAAACACTATTTGGTTCGCGTTATGATCTTATCCAAAAGTCTTTAATGACTAATTTTTAAAACAGAGGTATCTAAAGTCAGATAAATATTTCTTATTAAACTATAAACTCTTTCAGGAAGGACAAGGTCTTCTGTGTATTTTTTTTTTAAATAGGAAGGATTAAGGGCATCTTTTTTTTTTTTAAAGATTTAATTTATTTATTTGACAGACAGAGACCACAAGTAGGCAGAGAGGCAGGCAGAGAGGGAGGGGGAAGCAGGCTCCCTGCTGAGCAGAGAGCCCGATTCGGGGCTTGATCCCAGGACCCTGGGATCATGACCTGAGCCGAAGGCAGCGGCTTAACCCACTGAGCCACCCAGGCGCCCCCATCTTTTTTTTTTTTTTTAAATAATTTATTTATTTATTTGACAGAAATCACAAGTAGTCATAAAGGCAGGCAGAGAGAGGGGGAGGAAGCAGGCTCCCCGCTGATCAGAGAGCCCAATGCAGGGCTCGATTCCAGGACCCTGAGACCATGACCTGAGCCAAAGGCAGAGGCTTCAACCCACTGAGCCACCCAGGCGCCCCTCTTCTGTGTATTATTAGCTTTCCCTGAAGAACATGGAATGCACCAGGGGCTCAGTGAACATTTTTTCCAAAAAATTATTAAAATGATGATTGTATCTAAAAGTGTATTAAGAGGGGTGCCTGAGTGGCTCAGTCGTTAAGCATCTGCCTTCAGCTCAGGGTCCTGGGATCAAGCCCCACATCAGTCTCCTGCTCAGCGGGGAGTCTGCTTCTCCCTCTCTCACTCCTCCTGCTTGTGTCCCCTCTCTCGCTGTCTCTCTCTGTCAAATAAATAAATAAAATCTTTAAAATAAAAGTGTGTTAAGAATATGAAAACTTGGGGCACCTGGGTGGCTCAGTGGGTTAAGCCGCTGCCTTCGGCTCAGGTCATGATCCCAGGGTCCTGGGATCGAGCCCCACAGAGAGCCCGCTTCCTCTCTCTCTGCCTGCCTCTCTGCCTACTTGTGGTCTCTGTCTGTCAAACAAATAAATAAAATCTTAAAAAAAAAAAGAATATGAAAACTTATTTTTAGCTTACTAAAGCATACATGTTGAATTTCAGTTCTGACCTTCCTATGGTCTTTCTTAAATCACTTTGAATATTTGGCAGCAATTTGCTTGACCGTTTTAGGTGTCAGAAGCAATGACGGGGGCCTTCATCTCCCGGTATGTTTCTACATTCTTTGATGAGATAAACTCCTTGAATGAGCTGTATACCACTTTACAGTCATTGCACATGCTCACTGGAGGGGAGCGCTGTCAATAGGCAAGTTCTAGATTCAATTCATCCTGCATTTGTTAATCCTAGTTTGAGTCAAAAGTTAATATGGAACATATTCTAGCCTTTTTTTAAAGGCTGGAATATGTTTCAGTTATGCTCTACCACACTTACCCTAAAACAGCTGTTCTTGAATTTCTAAATGTATATGAATGACTGTAGACCTGTGCTGTCCAATACAGTAGCCACTTGCCATACAATAATGGGACTCTTGAAATGTGGACAGTCAAACCAAAATGTGCTGTGACTGTAAAATACACACTAGATTGCAAGGATTGAATACAAAAGAGGAATGTAAAATATCTCAATAACTTTTACGAATCGTGTATTGAAATGAAAATATTTTGGTTATATTGCATTAAATAAAATGTATTAAAAGTAATTTCTGATTCTTTTAAAGTGTGGCTACTACAGTATTCAAAATTACATATGCAACTCACATTTGTGGTTCATCTTATGCTCTTGTTGAACAGCTTTGGCTCATATGCTTGTTTGAAATGTTTCCTGGCTCCCATTTTTGGAGGTTCTGCTTTGGTAGTTGCAAGTTTAGGCACAGAAATCTGGTATTTTTTTTTTTTTTTTTAGCTCTCCAAGTAATTCAATTGATAATTCAGGGTAGGGAATCATTGTTTTCTACTGCTTTTGACCAGGTGATTTTGGTAGTCTCCAACACAGCAGTGATTCAAAGATAACAGAGTAACAGCTTTCAATTTCAGTGGTGTAATAATGGCCATCCCATAAAGTCATATGTATGTTTTTCAGTTAGCAAAACACTCTTCAAATATAAACACAACACGACCATTTTGTGGGAATGGAAGGATGGTAGGAACAGTTAAGCAATATCTATCAGAAACTTAAGTGACTCACTTCTAGAAACCGATCTTGCAGATCTTCTCACAAGCTCACTATATCTGAAATTCACTTTAGCACTATTTGAAATTGAAAAACTGGAAACTGAGGAAATAAATTACCATACATCCAACTGAATATTACACAGCTGGAAACAATAAGTTCGTCTAGGGGCACCTGGGTGGCTCAGTGGGTTAAAGCCTCTGCCTTCAGCTCCGGTCATGAGGGAGCCTGCTTCCTCCTCTCTCTCTGCCTGCTTCTCTGCCTACTTGTGATCTCTGGCTGTCAAATAAGTAAATAAAATCTTTAAAAAAAAAAAAAAAAGGAATAAGTTCGTCTATATGTACTGATATAGAGAGTAATCTAGATTTATGGGGGGGGCAAGGCAAGTTGCAGAAAAGCATACAGATCTTATCTGCAGATATGAAATATGAAAAAATATGTACCTATATTTGTATATGCATAGAAATTTTAAAAATATTAACAGTGGTTACTGTTAACAGTGGGGAGAGTCCCAGTGATATGGAAAGGAACGTTTTGTTTTATACCCTTTTGTACTGTTTTAGTTTTTCACTATGAGCAACATGTAAATATACATTTACATTACAAAATACTGTTAAAAAAATCTACATAATGTCTAGCTAGGCAAGTAATCACTTCATCACTTAGGTTCCTGTTACAGAAATTTGCTTTTCGCTATTACCTTTTTTTTTTAAAAGATTTTATTTATTTATTTGACAGAGAGAGATCACAAGTAGGCAGAGAAGCAGGCTCTCTGCGGAGCAGAGAGCCCGATGCGGGACTCGATCCCAGGACCCTGAGATCATGACCTGAGCCGAAGGCAGCGGCTTAACCCACTGAGCCACCCAGGCGCCCCTCACTATTACCTTTTAATCTGCAGTCCGGTCTTTAATTTTCTAAGTTTTCTAAATTAATTTTCTAAAAGGCCATCATATATATTCTTTCATCCTTTCAACCAATCGTTACCGACAACCTACTTCATGCCAGACCGAACACTGTTCTAAAGCGGAACAATAAAGAACGGACACAAAATGGTATGTTCCTTACGAGTAGGACAATAAACAAACCCACACGTAAATAATCATTAGTCATGAGTGCCATGAAGACCTGAATTTTCAGATTCTAGAATGTTCAAATGCCATGTGTGCTTGCGTGTGCATATACACGTATTCGCAATCATTGCTACTGAATTTTTTTTTAGCCATTTGTATATAGTATTCGGGGTAGTTCTCAAATTTAACTTTCTCCTGCACTCATTTTAGCGAACTTAGCACAAAGAAATTAAAAACTGCAAAATTTTTCAGTTGTACGATTTTAAGCAAATTAGCTGCTTTAGGGCCTCAGTTTTCTCCTCTGCCAAATGGGGTATTTACCTCTCAGGTTGGCTGTCTCGGGAATTCTAGGTGCTGACCGCGTAACTGAAGTGCCTGGCACAAGGAAACGCGGGAGTGGGGTAGGCTCCTGCAGGGCAGGGAGCACTGAGGCGCCCGCACTGAGGCGCAGCTGGGCCGCGTGCAGCGCCGCCAGCCAGCTTTCTGGGGAGGCGCGGTATTCTCGCCGTGGACTGCAGGAGAAATGCTACGTTTTCAGGTGCTTTTTTCACCCGAGCACTTCCGCACGCCAATTTCTCCCTTCGGGAGTGCGGGGACCAGTGCCCGCCCGCTCTTGCGGAGCCCGCTGGGCGTCAACTCCCTCCCAGCGCCGGCCCGCTAACCAGTCCGATTTCTCGAGAGGGTCGTACGCTGAGGCCGCCTTGCGCTGCAAAACCCCCGGCCCAGAGCCGGCCAATCTGTTCTGGGCAGACTTGGCCGGGAGTTGGCGGTAGTCTCGCCTCCCAACTGCAGCAGTTAGTTTGAATTCTGGCGCCACTCCCGCGCCACGTAGAGCCAGACTCGACAGCGACCGCACACCGCGCGCAGGGGGCGCGCACCGGGGACTGGGCGAGCGTGCGGCGGGCGGCCGACGCGCGCACCACGCCCCGGAACCAGCCCCCGAAAGAAAAGAGCCGCCGCGCGCGCTCCCGCTCTCCTCCTTCATGAAACGGCCACGCCCCGTCTTCTCCCACGTCCAATAGACGCGAGGGGGCGTGGCGACCTCTGCCTGACTCAGGAGAGGCTATAAAGGGAACTGCTGGAGACGCCGCTCGGTCTTTTACGTCTGGACTTGGGAAATGTGGTCTTGCTTGTGGGTGAGTGGGCCTCGCGGGCGAGTACCTGGCGGGCGAAGTTGGCGCGGGCTGAAGTTAGCTGCAGCTCTTTGAGATTTTAGACCTTTGAGCTTGGGGTGCTCTGGGTTCGAAAGTTGCACGTGGGAAACACGCAGCCAGACCGCCACGTGTCCTGCGTGATGGTGGTGGCGGCGGCGGCGGCGGCGGCAGGCTTCGAGCTTAGGCGTGCGGAGGCTGGTGCTGATAGCCACGAGCGCTGTGCGCGGCCTAGTTAAGCAAGGGCCGACACCCGGCTGGTGGAACCTGGGGGGCGGCGGCGGAAGAATAACCATATTCCCGGGATTTGGGGCAGAGACTTAGTTTTACATTGGGAATAAGAGGCCTTTACTAATTAGACGATTGTTTTTCTTTCTCGTCGCAGATCAGAAGATCGTTTGAAAATGGGCAGTCCCCGACCTTGTCTGAGATTGAGCTGTACTGTGCCCAGATGGCGCTGTGTGCAAACCAGATTAGTAAAAAAGGCAGGGTTCTGGCATTCTGTAAAAATGCTTAATCTTCAAAATAATTGGTCCGCTGCGGGAACGGTGGGCTCTAGTGGTGTAAAGGAGCTGTTACCCGGAGATGTTGAGGTAAGTACGATTGAGAGCTTAGTTTTTAAACTGAAGAAGTAAACCTGTTGGTACACAGGAAAAGATGTATCTTTGAAATTTTCTTAATAGGTGCAGGGGGAAATTCCAAAACACGTGAGAGAATATTTGCTAGGAAATGGCTTGATTGGAACCTGACAGTCTTAACTCAGGTATGTGTTGGGCTAATACTTGAATTCAGTATGTTTAGTTCATAATGTAGATGAAGTGAAGAAATTTTTTTGTTCTCAAAACAGCATCCTGGAGATTAATGAACAATAATGGAGCTATTAATGTCACTGAGGAGCAACCTTGCTTTAAAGTAAGTTGTGTGGTTTACAAAATCTACTACACTATTTCTGGTACCGTACTTCCCATTTAACGTTTCCTATGGATTATGGTCTAATCAATGATGAAACCTATCCCGAAGCTGACTACCTGAAGAAAAGCATGTACGGATTCGGCTTCTGAGATAAGACCAGTAACTTTTGTTGTCTGGATTTTATAAATGCGAAGGTTCTGTTAGGTCATAAACCCTATAGAGAGAAAACTGCTACCTCACAACGATGTACAATGGGTTTTATTGTGGGGTTTTTTTTTTTTCTTTGCCAACAGTGAGGTGTCGCTGTCTGCCCATGGAAAGAGGCCAGTTTGCAGTAACCTTCCTAAGGCATAACTCATTTCTGTGAGTGGAGATTTTTTATTTAATAGTTGGTCATTATTTTGTCCTTGGTCTTAATCTGTGATGATCTTATCCCGAACCTGAATATCTGTTGAGAAAACTTATACGGATCTGGCTTCTGAGATAGACCATTATGAGGACAAAGTGTTTTTTGTTGTTTTGTTTTGTTTTGTTTTGTTTAAGAATTCTTTTGCTCTTCTGATGTTAATAGTCTTGTAAATCTCAAATGTTTTTCCTTTTCTAGGGCAAATGCCACCAGATTTACTTGTATGAAAAACATAAGGAAAAGCTCTTCATTTTACTGGCATGGGAAGAAAACCTACAAATCAAGACAATAGATCTATTTTTATTTTTGTAAACATTAATCAAATTGAATGTATCCATAAGAATTAAGCCTTTTACTTTTGTCACACTGCCCTATTCACAACCTGTTAGTCAAATTGCTTTGTAGATCTAGTTCTATTTTAAATACAGGAATGTGTAGAAAACTAATTTTTATGGTGAAGTCTTTTTTTTTTTCTCTCCAGTTAACCAGACTTGTAATCAGATCACTCTGAATGCTTTGCCTTTGGTCACCTGTTTGAATTTAAAATGTGTGAATGTAATTAAAGCTGAGTGAAAATTGGAGTATTGCGGGGAAATCCTTGGGGGTTTTTTTGGAGAATAGACTTGGTTTGGCAGTATCACTGAATAAGTACAAATCATCTTGGCTTTTTGTGTGGTACTAAATATTCCTGGACTAATGGTGAGCAAAATGGAGAGACTGCCTGTTAGGGAGAGAAAAATACCAGGTATCAAAATGATCGGTGATCACTGGCCCTAATTGCAATTGTATTTTGAAAGGATGCTCAAGATGGGAAATGTAGAATGCTGGAAATGAAGAGAGCACAGCGTAACAATTATGGGTAATGGGGGAAGATAAGCGAGTTTAAAGTAGTTAAACATTGCACAGAATGTAGACTGTAATAGCGTCTGATGTAACCAAGATGGGCCCCATGCATGATCATTTTCCATAAGTAGCTGCATAAGTTAAGTTGTTCCTAAACCCATACTTCAGTGCCAGTCAAAATAATAGAATTTTTGTCAGCTTATAATGAGCTGTATTTTTCCCTAAAATATTTTCCTGGCTTTTAGTGAAAATTCAGTTTTGTACCCATGTAGCTCAGAAGAAGCTCATGAGACTGACAAGCATGTTCGGTTATTGGTCAGGCACAGAGTGGATTTACTCAAGTATTAAAATGGTGTACAAAATACACATTGGAAATAGTTCATTGCAGCCAAACTAGAATATAAGGTATTAATGCCACCACATAGAGATCCAAGTATTCTGAGTCCCTGCACACTATTAAACTATAGGTTCAATGAATTACAAGTTGTCTGCAGGAAATACAAACCAGTCCTTGGATAGGAAGTGTGAGGTGTCTAAATTTAGACTAGGGTGTGGTCCCTTTAATGAGGCCTTAAGATTTGAAATCCAGCAATGGGAAAAGCTGTTTGGCATAATGGATTACACATGGTATCTTGATGTTACCAGAAGGAATTGGGAAAGCTGTGTTGCTTTAAGACTATCACTTAGAAACTTTTGAAGATCAGGGGCTCCTGGGTGGCTCAGTGGGTTAAAGCCTCTGCCTTCCGCCTGGGTCATGATCGCAGGGTCCTGGGATCCAGCCCCGCAACGGGCTCACTGCTCAGCGGGGAGCCTGCTTCCTCCTGTCTCTCTACCTACTTGTGATCTCTGTCAAATGAATAAATAAAAAAATCTTAAAAAAAAAAAACAACTTGAAGATCAGTGGTATAATGTATATGATTTGGCAAAATATTAACTACTGAAGTTGTAATTCCTCAATGCTATTCCTAAATTAAACAGGCTTTGGTTAATGACCTTGTTAGTTGCATTTATTCAAAAAACAAATATGCCTGCATCATATAAATCAGTTTCTTTACGTTTGGTTTTAATCACCCAAGATCTTAAGTACCTAGATACCTTAGCTACCTAGTTGGCACTTATTTGCATGCTAAATGTTAGGTGTTCATAATATTCATTATTGCAGTAGATGATAGAAGCAAGGTCTGCACAAAATTTTCAGGGAAGTGTCTGCCCTTTTGTCAAAGCTGGCACACAGGACTTGAAAACAAGTTGTGAAATTTGCCTTGGGAGCACTCTGACCTCCTTTCCTGCAGTTGTGTTATTGCTCACTTCTCTCACAATTTTTTCTGGTAATGTCACATTTCTTCAGTTGATAGACTCCGAATCAAGTTTATGTATTGTACTGTACTGGGCTCTAATAAGGAGGTCAGAAGTAAAACACTTCCTGTGTCCTCTGTTAATAGTGGTACAAAGTGACAACAGACAAGCTATAATAAAAGTACTGTGAGAAAGATACTTAATATCTGAGGCAATTGAACAGTGGATTTGAATCAAAACCAACCCAGAGATGTGAGGAATATAAATCTTTAGGTATAAACACGTGAGGTAAAGATTGTATGCCCCAGGACCTGAGAGTGATGAATTGGGAATTTGGGTATCAATTGGGTGGTCAGATACGGGACAAATAAAGTGGAAGATAAGGCTGAAGTGTTTTGGGCAACTGTAAAGCTATGGTCATTTGAATTACCTAAAACTTGACTTTTTTTTTCAGTGGGAAGACCTAGAGTAGAAAATCACATAATTTAGTCCATTTGATTCTGCAGAGTCCATACTCGAACAAATCAGGACCAAAAAGGTACAATTTAGTGAAATTAAGCTTGGAACTTTAACATATAATTAACATCAGCTTCCATTAAAATGGAAAACAACTACTAGATTTGGATGATGTTTTTTCATTCACACAATGGAGGTTTTGGCTGTTAGAGTCTACTAGCCTTATCCTTTGGGAATCTAACAAACCAGGTAATACCTTTATATTAACAAATAGGTAACTACTATTTACAAACAGGGACCTTAAGTTACCTGGATAAGGGACTTAACCTTTCTGAGCCTATGTGCGACTTAATAGAGAACTTAATGGAGACTTAAAGACTCAAGGAATAAAGGAATATGGCTATAATAGACTGGGATCTGCATGGTTAGTACTGATTTCAGATTTTGAAGGAGCAGTCTACATGTGTGTGGCTTTAGCCAATAGGAATTCTTTTCTATGCTTTCCATCATGCTTCCGGGTTATCTTCAAATATGGTAGGCTTAGACCTACCATTTGGTGCTTTCTAAAACTAGTTCTGTTGCCAGAAATATAATATCCAGTGCACCTGGCTGCCCAATCAAGTATTCTCTGAAGTGATTATGCACCTTATAAATCCTTACTGTTTGCTCAACCCATAGGAAATCTTGTGCTTGGGCTCAGATTTTTAACACCACTTGCTCAGTTAGAATCTTTAGTTGAATTCCAGCCTGCTAGGATAGTCTGCTTATCTTTTGCTAGTACTTCCTCCCTGGGGATGAGACCCTCTTTCCCATGTTAACTCCCAAAAGCTTGATTCGGGATACTCAGAGCATGGTATTTAGTATTCATAATTGCCTAACTAAATATTGCCACTGCCTCTAGTCTCACTCCACCTCACTGATTCTATGTATTTGGATATGTACAGAGATCAGATCAAAGCACAGGTTTGCCATGCAGTTCTGGAAGCTTTGTGGACCATCTTAGGGTGGAGGAGAGGATGTCTTTACAAAATGAAAACCAGACTTCTCTCTCATTCTCTCAAATCCTTACCTCTTCCCTTTACTACGAGCACATCACTAAAGTCCTGGCATGCCATGTGGCTGAGTTATAACAGGAAATAAGGATTTAATCTCACAGAATCCCAAATTGGGTGTAGTATAATCTAACCTATTTGGGAACTTTATCTTAGTTATGCTTACTCAGTTGGTTCTAGTTCTTTTCAAGAGTGTTAATAATCGAAAAAGCATTTAAGAATACTCAAAACTTATCATTTGAATACAATAAGATTTAAAATACAGTGCATTACTTTAGTGAGGTCAGTTAACTTTTGACCTACCTACCATTGCCTCCTAACTATTGATACAACAAATTGTATGGTTTTAAATATACAGTTTGGCAAGTTTTTCCGTTGATATACACCCATGAAATAATTACCACAATCAAAATAATGACCATCCATTTCTCACAAGTATTATATTGCAGAGGCTTGATTTTGAACATGTTAGATTTGAGATGGAATCTAATATCCAAATGAAATTTTGAGTTAGGTAGAGAAGTTTGGAGCTCAAGGAAGAGATCTGAGCTGGAGAAATAAAATTGGAGTCATCAGCATGTGGATGGTATATTTAAAGGCATAAGATTAGATGAGATCACCAAGGAGTGACTATAAAGAGAAAAGAAGCGGTCTAAGAGTTGAGTCCTGGAACATTCCAAGAGTAGGGAATTCCAGGATTAGTTAAAATCCTGGAGGTTATTTTGTGCCAAGGGACAAAAATTGGGAAGTAGAAATCTGTTAAGTGCAACTGCCATATCAGGAACAGAAACAAGATGAAAAGTAAAGGAGTTCTGCATGGAAAGCAAGGATGAAAACTAGCAAATAATTGCTTGGGTTATAGGGCTGGAGATAGCCTTGATTTAATGCAGAGCCTTAGCATGGAAATTGAACAAGTTAGTATCTGAACTTTCCTGGTAAAGTTCCAGGAAAGAATGAGATAAGGAATCTAGGAAGTATGCTAGGGTGTTCATCAGACAGTATCTATTTAGAGAGGTGGAGTTAGCTACAGACAGGTTTGTTTTATAGTGCAAAAGTGCCTGCTGAAGCTGAAAACTACCAATTTTAATAGTTAATCAGCATAATTCTTACTATTCTATGGGGCTTATCTGCCTGGGAGAAGAAAGCAGATCAATGAATTAATCCAAAATTAGGAGTAAACTGGCCAGGAGGAGCAAAACAATGACAAGCCAAGGGAACTGAGGATGTAGATAAAACTTAAAATTATTAACCTTGAGATCCAGACTGAATAGGGGGAAAAAAGTGAGGGTCCCAGGTAAGACAAAGATCAGACGTACCATGGAAAGATGCTGATGAAAACTAGGTAAAATAAGGTCCTCTCCACTGAAACTACAAAATGACCCATAGCATGTTGTATTCTGATTATTGGTTTATCGCTTTCTGGCCCTAGAATGTGAAGTCTTTACAAGAAGAATCTGTACCCTTTAATCTCTTAAATTCTGTCTAAGACAATGTAATGGCTCCTATAAAAAATAATCTAAGTAGAATTCAGTTTGTATATTTAGGGCAATTATGATGTGATTTAACTTCTCCAAAAGGGGTAAAAGAAAATGAGAAAAGTTAGAAGATGTTAAGGACAAATATATGTATCCCCCAAAATTAATATTTTGAAGCTGTAGCCACCTAGGGTGGCTGTATTTGGAAATAGAGCCTCAAAAGAAGTAATGGAGTTTAAATAAGCTCGTAAGGGGAAGACTCTGATCCAGGAGGAAGACTGTCTTTACTAAAAAACAAAAATAAGAAAAAAAAACACCAGAGAGCTCATTCTCTCCCTCTCCCCAGCAGATCCACAAAGCAGAGGTCATATGAGCACATAATGCGATAGTGAGCACCCACAAGCCAAGATAAGAGGCCTCAGAATGTTGGACTTACAGCCTCCAGAACTGTGAGAAAACTTCAGTTCCATTGTTTAAGCCACCCAGTCTGTGATATTTTGTTATGGTAGCTCTAACAGACTAAGAAGCAAAGGATAAGTGGCCACTGCTATAATTTTGGGAGTTTATATTTAGCTAAAGAATTATGAGTAATAGCTATGAAAAAAGCCCATGCAATGTAATCTTTTTGGTTTTATACATTTTCCCTTTAGGTTTCTATTTACTAAATTGGAACCAAATCTACAATATGCTTTTTTAATTGAATATTAACAAACAAAGCTGCTTCTCCCCTTGTTTCATCAAGTTCAGTTTTTTGAGAAATAGATAATTTTTCAATAAAAATTATCACTAAAGAGGGATGCCTGGCTGGCTCGGTTGGTAGAGCTTGCAACTCTTAATCTTGGGGTCATGAGTTCAAGCTCCACATTGGGCATAGAGCTCCCTTAAAAAATAAATACTATCAGAGAAACCAGAGATTGAAATGAAACACTTTCAGATAGAAAGTGAATGTTGTCTGAAGTCATATGCTTCACAGGAAAAACTTTTTGACATAAGTGAGATTACTTCTTTCATAATCACTTCATGTAACAAAAAATGGTTTGGGCTTACTGAATATTTCACAGTCTAAAATTTTGTTTTTTCAAAATATTGTTAAAATGTCTCTGCTATGTAGAACAATCTATACATTCAGCGCAATCCCTATCAAAATACCATCTTTTTTCACAGAGCTGGAACAAATAATCCTAAATTTTGCATGGAACTGAATAATCCTAAATTTGTTCCTAAATTAGGAACAAATAATCCTAAAATTTGTATGGAACTGGAAAGACCCCAAATAGCCAAAGAAATGTTGAAAAAGAAAACCAAAGCTGGTGAGATCACAAGCCTGGACTTCAAGCTCTATTACAAAGCTGTGATCATCCAAACAGTATGGTACTGGCACAAAAACAGACACATACAACATTGGAACAGAATAGAGTACCCAGAAACGGACCGTCAACTCTATGGTCAGC